TCTTCTGGTCTTTGGTCTTTAGTGTTTAATATATCAAATCTGTTCTTCAGATGAACTCCAAATTCAGGTGGGATAAATTCAAGGTCATATTTTGGCTCTCATAGACTTGTTTTCATTTTCTTCAGCTTCAAGGTAACAGATTACAGGATCAGAAATGATCAAGGCACAGTTCTAGTCAGGACAGCCTCATCTCAGCTGTGAGCACAGGCAGGCCTTTCTTTATGAAATCAGTATTACAAAGCTCTGTTAGGTTTTCTGATAAATGCCCCACAGGACACACTACTCCATCATAAGCTTCAGCCTGAAGGCACATGGCTCTAATTCTGTGGGTCAGCAAACCTAGCTCTCCTAATTAAGTATTGGAGACACCCATTCTGCAAGCAAGCCTCTTTCGCAAAGTCACTCAGTTTTACTTAGTCCACAGGCTGGGAAACTCCACGGCTTTATCTCATGCTCTGGCTCATGGGTCTATTGTTGTTGCTGTTCTGCTATGCCTCTGCTGCTCCTTTGGTGTCACAGTTTTCTAGATCCAGGAGGTTCAGGGTCCAAAGACATACTCCACTCCTGGCTCTTTGTACTTCATGGCAGTGAGACTCCCTCCTCATGCTTTTGAGATAGCTTATTTTAGACTCATGCTAGTGTCTCAATATTTTACGATTATAATTAACTCTATTAACATCCACAGCTGAATCATGTCATCCTATTTGTATCTTCCTCCCCCACCTTTTCTTATGCAGACTTAGTAGGGCTGAAATGTTTGGTTTGAGTTACAGACTAGGGCTAGATGCAACATTAAATAATGGACTACACTGCAATAGTGAACTCTTGTTGTTTGTTTTTGTAATCTGCAGTTCAAATTTTTACCATGTTCGAATGAATTCCGATTCGTTTAAATTAATAGATTGTGAATCTATTCGTATTTTGGTAACTTCTGATGAGTACTTAATAAAGAAGTAAACAGTTTAAAAGTCTGAATAATTCTAGTTGAAAGATTATGAAGAATTAGGCTGTTTCCTTCATTTTGAATAGTGGCTTTGTTTATTTTACATCTACTTCAGGAAACTGAGAATTTTAGTTCATTGTTCTAAATATATTTTGACCTTTCTTAGTTGTACCTGTTGTGACTTGCCAATAGATTTTTCAAACTGAAGAGCAAAAAAATAACATAAAGAACTTGATTGTGTAATGAAAGACTGTTGTAAAAATTAGTGACTCGTCTATTGCTGATGGATTTCCCTGGGAGCTGCTATTTCCCCTTTGTTGCTGTCATTTTGTCATGTTCTAATGGTGTGTACCTTCTTCTGTAGTTTTCGTTGTTCCCTCTTTTTCTGAGTTGTCTTTTTCTTAGTGTTTGTTCCCCCTCCTACCTTTTTTTTTTTTTTTTTTTCTTGATTAGATTAGCTTGCTTACCTAAAACTGGAAGGAATGGATAAAAAAAATATATTTTAAAGAAAATAGAAATTTCCCAAAACTGACTCCAAAGGATGGACCTATCTTAACAGTCAACATTTGTCATTTGAAAGGGATTTTTTAAAATTAATGGTGCATGATCAAAATTATGACTAAGCAATCATGAGATAGATTACCAAATATTTATAGCTTGTACCATGAAAGAGCTAATCTCCCTACATATAATGAGTCTTCTACAAATCACTAAGAGGAAAGATCAACATCATCACAGAAAATTGAGCAAAGGAACAGGCAATAATACACAGAAACCCATTGCCATCAAGCTGACACCAACTCCTAGCAACCCCATAGGAGCCAATGGAAGTACGCTTCAGGGTTCTGACACTGTGCATCCTTATGGACATACCCTGCTTCAGTTCTCCCTCAGAGTGACTGGTGACTTGAAATTAACGACCTTTTGGTAGCAGCCGTATGCTTAAACCATGGTGCCACCAGGTCACCTTCAAATATATTTTGACCTTTTGTACATGAAAATGATACTTATTGAGAGACCAGATTGCACCTGTCAATGGTAGCATGCTGAGCATTCCTGCACCACTAAAGTTTTCAGTGAGAGCATAAATTGGCACCTCTATGGGAGCAAAATTTGTCAAGATTATTATAGATGCACAAATCCGAAAGTTCCTCTTTTAGGAATTTATCCTGCAACTATGCTTGAAAGTTTTCAAAATTTGCAAGGTAGTTGATATGTTTTCTGTTTCTTATAGAAAAGATGGAAAGGAACTTGAATATGCATGCATTGACAGTCATGTGTAACATACTATAATGATACACAGTTGTAAAGGAAACAAGAAACCTACCAAAACAAATAGTCTTAATAGAATGGTAGAATAAGTGATTTAAAAGCAAACTTCAGAAAAATATATTGCATTTTCTACATAGTAAAGGGAGCATAGGACAGAAATATGTTTCTTGTGTGGTTCATTGATTATTTCTGGAAAAGTATGTTAGAAACTGGAAACCTTGGATGCTTTGGGGAAGGGGAACTGGAAGGGTAAAAGTCAGGGTTGTTTATACCCTGAAGTCCTGGTGTGGCATTGTAGAATTAATACTGGACCATGAATCACAAGGTCAGCAGTTCAAATCAACCAGCTGTTCCTCGGAAACTCTATATGGGGACGTTATGAATCAGCACTGACTCGATGGCATTTAACAGCAACAGCATACCTTTTTACATATTGTTGTTACTGCATGCCATTGAGTCGGTTCCGACACATAATGACCCTGTAGAGGGTTTCCGAAGAGCAGCTGGTAGCTTGAATTACCGATCTTGCAGTTCAAATGACTTTGCAGCCCAGCGCATTAACCCACAGCGCTACACCAGGACTCCTTTTACATATTGAAGTCTCCAAAATTAAACTAAAATTATAGTTGGACTAAAATGATAGTTTGGAATTCTTGAGGTTTAGATGATCTCTTAATTCATTGTGCTAATTAATTATAATTAGTTACAATGGAATTTGTATTTGTAGTATTTGGTTAGAAGTTCTGGAAATCCCTCAATGACTGTTATAAAATGGAATCCTTTTGTTTCAGGATCTCCAGCGGAACTATCTCCCACTGCTCTTTCACCCGTTAATCATAGCTTGGGTAAGTTGTACATAACAGACTTTGCTCCAACTATTGTTGTTGTAGTTGCTAGATGCCATCAAGTTGGTACCGACTCATAGCGACCTTATGCACAGCAGAACTAAACAATGTTCGATCCTGGGCCAGCCTCACTACTGTTGCCATGCTTGAGTCCATTGATGCTGCCACTTGGCCAGTCCATCATGTTGTGGGTCTTCCTCTTTTTCTCTGACCCTCCACCTTACCTAACGTGATACCCTTCTCCAAAGACTGGTCCCTCCTGACAATATGTCCGAAGTATGAGAGATGAAGTTTAGGCATCTTGCCTCCAAGGAGCATTCTGGCTACACTTCTTCCAAAACAGATCTATTGATTGCTTTGGCAGCCCATGGCACTTTCAATATTCTTCTTCAATACCATAACTCAAAAGCATCAATTCTTCTACAGTCTTCCTTATTAACATGTCCAGCATACATATGAGGCTATTGAAAATACCATGGCTTGGGTCAGGCGCACCTTAATCCTCAAGCTGACATCTTTGCTCTTAAACATTTTAAAAAGGTCTTGTGCAAAAATAGCCTTTTTGGTAATTATTTTTTGAGTGTATGAGAGAGGCATTTCAATGAAAAATCAAACAGTTTGTCCAGATGGCTTAAATTAGTACTTTTTCAAAAAGGTATTGATGTGTGAGCATTACGAAAACTCTTCTACTGGCATGTATGAGAGTAAGAAACTAGTCGTATTTCTTTCCATTCATGAAAATTACATTCTTTAATCATGGAATACTTTTGACCTACTGTATATTTATAAGTGCTCTGGTAGCATAGTTGTTATGAATTAGCAAGGTCAGCAGTTCGAAACTACCAGCTGTTTGTTCCATGGGCGAAAGATGAGGCTCTCTGCTCCTCCCATAAAGATTTATAGCCTCAGAAACCTTGTACAGGGTCGCTATGAGTTGGAACCGACTCCATGGTACATAACCCCTATCATCATATATGTGTATGGGTATGTTCATTTTATGGTATGTTTTACAATGGTAATTATTAATACAAGAGGTATGTATGTGTATATAAATGTAGATGGCTATACCTACTAGCACACACACACACACACACACACATATATAAAAACATTATTGTGGGAGGTATGCATATTAGTGTAAATGTATATACATATGTATGTGTGTATATGTACATTTCTGTTGTTTTTCACGCCCTCATTTTACCTCATTATTTCAATTTCTCTTAAGAGAGTAAGTTAACATTCAGAATTTTTAAAATAATATTGTTGATTTTATGTTTTTGTTTTATGCTATTTCTTAAGATGTATTTTAGTCAATAATTATAGAAATTAAAAATAATATGGAAACCTTGTTTTCTCATGAGGTATGTAAACACTTTATTCCATTTTCTGTTTCCGTCTGCAAACTCTGTTTTCTGGTTCTTATGTATGTGTGGGCTTTCTATATTTTGTAACTAGAGTAACTCACTGAGAATCTTATGTTAAAGTAGACAAATGTCAAAAATATGTCATTTTGTATCCTTTTATTAGGGCATAGAAATTTTATTCTTATGGCTTTTGACTAATTTAAGCTAAATTCTTTGCCTCAGTTCCTGTCGCTTTATTCTATTGAAAAATAGCCTTATTAAGCAATTTAGAAGTTTGTAAAGTCAAATCAGTGGATGTACTTTACCTATGGTGGTTTTAGATTTGAACAGAATCTAGGCTAAAACTATTGATAGAACAAGTGGTCCAACATAAGTCTAGAAAAGATGTTTGAAGATTGAATGGCTTAATGAGATGTAAGAACTTTAAAAAGTTGAAAATCGGGTACAAGCTGTGGATACTAGAGTCCAGGAAGTAGATGCTAAGTCAGCTTCCTGTACCATTGTCAGTGTAGGCTGGCGTAGAGCATGGGAAGGTGGTGATATTTTGTGTCTTCTTGGCTTGAATTATTCACCCAACAATTTGTGCTTCTTTGTTTTGTTATCAGATCTGCAGCCCGTTACTTACTCAGAGCCTGCATTTTGGTGTTCGATAGCATATTATGAATTAAACCAGAGAGTTGGAGAGACCTTCCATGCCTCACAGCCATCACTCACTGTAGATGGCTTCACAGACCCGTCCAATTCAGAGCGTTTCTGCTTAGGGTTACTGTCCAACGTCAACCGTAATGCTACGGTAGAAATGACAAGAAGGCATATAGGTATGTTTCCTTTTCCTTGTGTGAATCAAAAGTTGTTCTGGACTGCTGCATATTTTCTGCTAGACGTTATTCCAGATACAATTCTTTGTGCATCTCTAAAACCATTGCTGTTCAATCAGACGTGGGCATTCGTACTGTGTTAACCGTATCGAGGTGTTATGGAGAACTTCCTATTGAAATATCTCTCTGTACAGTCAAGTGCCCATGGGGCTCTACTGCTTTGAATAGAGCCTGGTGCCTCTCTGACCTATCTGTATTTTACACGGGGAAGTTCTGCAATAAACGTGTTAAAGTAATTGATTTATTGAATCTTTACAAGCTACTTTCAGATTTTGCAGTAAAATTTCCACAAATCATACATAGTTTTTTTCAGTTTGTTTACACTTTTAGGTGTTTATACACACACACACACACACACACACACACACACACGCGCGCGCGCCTCCCACTCCCCACTTTGGTTAGTTCCTCTAGCAAATTAAATCTACTGACGTCAGTCTGAGGCAGGATAGCTAACCTAAGAATTCTGTTTGATACCATTCGGGATACTCTGGAAGCTCCAGAAGTCCTCTCGGGGTTCTTGAGGTCAAGACTTTTCAGAACGATATGAAGATATTATTTGTCTTTGTCACTTTCATTTTCTTGATGGAAAGTGAGGACACATGACAGATTTTTTAAGAGATAAAATGTGGCAGAATCTACTTTCTTTTAAAAAAAAGAAAAAAATTATTGTCAAATTAAGTAAAGTTTACAAAGCAGATCACTAGTTTTACATTCAGCAAATAATTTCACTTCAATGGTTGCATTGTCCCCTCCATGGAGCATCACCTAACCCACTGCTCCCCTGTGAGTCTTGTTCCTGGTCCTCTTGTCTCCCAAACATTCTGAATTTTGTTTTTAAGTGAATTTTGCCCATTGGATCTCTAATGGTGACCTTTCTCGGGTGTGCATGCCTCAGTAGTGTCGTTGTTCTTATACATACCTATGTACTGCTTGGCTGAAAACTGAGCCATGAGGGTGAGTTGGGTTACAAACCAAAATCCACTTTCTTGCAGCTGTAGGTTTTAAGGCCTCAGTTCCAGCTGTCTCTTAGAGACTGTAAGTACCCCACTCAAGCTTTGAATCACACTCACAAGGAACTGCCTAGGCCCTTTGAAGGGATCACCCGATTTAAGTGAGATCTCTCAAGACAATTACTCTCCGGTCACCTGATTTTGGGACCTTGGTTGTATCTGTAAAATCCCTTAGCAACAGTGTTAGGTTGAATATCAGAGGAGATGTGTGCGTTCCCAGGGGCAGGAACGACTCTTACTACCTTAGGTTTCTACCTACCACAGTTAGTTTCTTAAAATTCCTTTTTCTCTCTTTCTTTGCTAATGTACTTACTTGATCTTTCAAATTCAGAAAAAAGCCTGTTAAAATCGCCAAATACAACTTGATTTTTTTTAAATAAATTTGTTCTATGCTTTGTTTGCCACCATTATATACTCTTAAACAGGGCAAATGATTCTAACTTCTTGATGTTAATTATCTTTTTCTTAACCATAGTTTTGTCTTGCTTTTTATTGTAATGAAGAGAACATTTCTCCGAGCTTCAGTTAATTCCTTTAAAATCAACTCAGTTTCTATTTAGTTTTAAAATACTATGTAATTTTTGTGAACTTCTGTCCTCTCCTTCAATCTAAATGAATGTATAGACAGATGTCTATGTATAATTTAAGTGACAATGTGTTCTAG